GTATAGCTTGGTGGCCAAAAGTTTTTTTCAGGACTTGCCGTAACAGCTTCACGTGTTCTTCTAGGGTTTCAGAGAAGATCAAGATGTCATCTAGATAAACAAGCACTCCGCGGTACAGGTGGGCATGTAGCACCTCATTTATGTACTGCATGAAGACTACAGGTGCTCCTTGTAGCCCAAATGGCATGACTTTGTACTGAAAACTGCCAAGGGGAGTGTTAAAAGTGGTCTTCCATTCATCTCCCTCTCTGATCTGTATGCGGTAATACGCCTCTCTCAAGTCCAGCTTGGTAAAGATCTTGCCTTTTGCCAAATGGTTTAGCATATCTTTCATGAGGGGAAGAGGATAAGTGTTCTTTTCGCATACTGCATTCAAAGCTCGCAGATCAACACAGAGACGAACCCCACCATCTTTCTTTTCTCTGAAGAGCACTGGGGCTCCTACTTTCGACTTCACTGGTTCAATAAAACCCTGTTTCAAATTGATGTCTATGTAATTCCTCAATTCAATCATCTCTTTGGGGGTCATGGAGTACATTTTCGGCTTTGGTAATTTAGCCCCCGGTTTGAAGTCTATTGCACAATCTGTGGGCCGGTGGGAGGGAAAATAGTTGCAATCTTCCTCACTGAACACCCCCGCTAAGACCCATTAGTCTTTTGGTACTTGTTGGGTCCCTGGGGGTTTAGTGTCTGCTGCAGGTGCTGCAGGTTCCGGACAGTCTGGGCTGTTGGGTCCCATCATTCCTGGGTGGCCTTTTGGCTCCACCGGTGGTAGCGGCCCAAAGCCGATAATCAATTTTCTAACGCCGTCCTCCCACTTTATTCTAGGTGCCCACTTGTCCAGCAATGCAAGTCCCAATATAATTGGTTCCTGCATTCTTGGGGCTACAATGAATCTGAGGAATTCATAGTGGCGGCCTATCTGTAACTTTACCAACTCGGTAATTTTAGTGGCTGGGGCCCCTCCAATCAGTGTTCCATCCACTTGCTCGAACCAAATGGGATGATTTGGGGGTCTTTTTTTAATGAAAATTTTAAAAAACAAACTTTTACAAATATTTACTTCCGTCCCCCCACCCTCCCCAAGGGACGGAACCTAGTTGCATCTCTAACCTTAGGAACTGCCTCATCACATTGTTCTGCTACTCATCCTGCAGTACTCCCCTCATTTATCTCTTCTTCCACTGTTGAGAACTCTGTAGGAAGGTGGGGTAAGAACCTGTTGGGGCATTGCAGGTGCACATTGTTCCACCATCCATCCTGCAACCTTCCCCTCAATCATCCCTTCTTCCATTGTCGAGACCTCTCCTCTGTAGGAAGCTTGGGTAAGAACCTGTTGGGGCATTGCAGGTGAGACTGGAACCAGTGGGGTGGTCAATCTCTGGTTTGGCCACTGCCCAGTTATCTGCCATGGTGCCATCTGCTGAGGGAGGGCAAGTGCCCATTGGCATCTCTCCCATCCATGACCTGGAGTTGCTTGATTTATAGGTTGCAATTCAACCATTAATGGCTGACAGGGGTGGTAGTTTATGGGCCAAGGTCCCCTCTGCTGGCTTGGAGGCTTTTCCCATGTTGCCCAGTGGCACCTCTGCCATCCATGACCTGGGGTTGCTTTATTCATAGGTTGCAATTCAACCATTAATGGCTGGTGGTGGGGGGTTA